GACGAATGAATAACTCTTTCTTTTGGGCCTCATGAACTTGTTCNGTTAGTTCCTCATCTATCACATTGTCAGAGCAGACCTTTCTCGCTCGTGATGTGAGACTCTGAATTAAATTTCTTTTCTGTCTGAGTGGGACGAAGCTGTAAAAGTGGGTGTATTGTCCCGTACACGTTGGTTTTCTATATATTCGACGTTGTACAGAATCATCGTCTCTTCGGAGGAGTGCCACGTCTAAGAAGGCCAAATTATCTTTTTCTTCAGTTTTCACCGTGAACTGAATTGATTCATGAGCCTCGTTGAATCTCTTGAGCAAGCTTGTCGTGTTCCTACCTTTCGGTGCGAAACAGAATATGTCGTCCACGTATCGGCAGTATAGACTCATTTGCTCTATTTCTGGCTTCAACGCTGTATTTTCAAGCTCTTCAATTACCTTCGCCCCAAATTGATCATCAACATCACCGTCACCACCAACACTCCAATCACAATCAGTCTCATCCGAACACAGACATATAGAGCTTACCCCTCCCCTCTCCTCTTCCCGAACGACCTTTTGACCCAGCTGGAAAATGTGTCCCCACTAACAACAAACCCTTATATGATCTGTGTAGGCACGAATATGAATCATTCGAAAACAATTGTTCGCCTTCGGACTTGTGTTATGATGTTACAATGGGATTATTTCGGAATGTAAATAATTATTTTGTTTTTCTAAGTCAAATAATTTTCCCTTAAATTTTTCTGGTTGTTTGCTGTCTTATTGAAGCCGGCTTTATGTTTAGGGTTTGTCATACGCGAAATAATTTTTGAGCAACAGCGGTCTCCACTTGGGACTTTTTCATGGCTAGAAGATTGGGGATCAATCAAATGACCTTGAACTTTTTGAATCAAGCCGCGTTTGCATGCTGCGCCCTTACCGTAGTCCCTCGGGTCCCTCCCTCGAGGGCTGAGTGCGATTTTCGGGACCCCAGTAGTGGTGGTCGGCGGATAGTTTGTCTGNATCCCCAACATCGGACTTAATAAGTTTCCGAGACTGCGCCCAGAAGTACTGGCATACGTTTCTCAAAGGGTCGCGTCGGTAGTCTGCGTGAGCTTACTTTGCATTCTTTCGATCGCTAACCTTGGTGACTTCCACTGGTCAGCTAGCGATGTCCCCCTCGAAGAGGATACGTTTCTAAATTCTCCCTTCCCCATAGTTAAGCGATTGAGTTCAATTATGACCAAACCGGGAGTCGCCATCCTCACTCTTTCTGACGCTGTCAGACAAGCGTCCCGGTATTTCGGGTTTCCTGCAGGTTCATTGCGACCTTCAAATTTTTTTGTGGTTCTCCTGTACAGATGATTCTGTTGAACTTTTCACCACGCCTATGCATGGTTCACGGGGCTCTGAGAAATATACACTTATTATTATTATTAAGTCGTTTTGCGTAAGTGCGAGACCCGGGGCTTCATTCGCGACTGGTGACAAAAGACCATTGTTTAATATGCGCTCCACTTCGAACAGGGCCGTGTTCAGGGTCTCATCGTCGACGGACTGTCGATTGCACACCACCAATGGGATCCTTCTCACCGAATTATCATATGTTCCCAAGCCCCGCCCCTACGGCTGACATACGGCGGGTTCAAATTCCAATGTATATTTTGGGAGGTCAGTCGCTTATGTAGTTCGCCATTCAACTAAAGTCAAGTCAAGTCGTCACGGGACAACCACTTTTACAGCTCGTTAGACGCGTCCATGAAATTTGAACTGTTGTCGGAGTAGACGTTGTTCCGCACTTCGCGCCTGGTGATCAGCCTTTGAAGCGCCATCAGGACTGATTCAGTAGACATACTGTGCACCATCTCTAAATGCACCACGCGAGACTGCATGCAGGTAAACAGGCACCCGTACCGCTTTGCCACCAAACGCCAGCACCTCAATGCCAGGGACAGAAATAATCCACTCCCGTCTCCGCGAACGTCCACCCACCTGTTTGAACCCTGAATTTGGGTAGGGGTGCCATCATTTGCCTTCCAGTTACCGCATTTTGACGGCGACAGAACATACACCTACCAATTATCTCCTTTATTGCGGTTCTACCGCGTGTTATACAAAATCTTCCTGAATGGCGTTCAGTAGATGATTAGTTCCCACGTGTCCGTGTTTTACGTGGAGGTGGCGTATAAGCTAGGTGGTGGCGTGGATACCGGTCGACAGACTGATCGGATATTTAGCATCCAATACCAGGGAGGAATTTTCCAATCTCCCTCCTACGCGTGGCAACCCTTCGAGCAGTGTTGGGTTCAGCTTACGCAACGCGCTCCATATGATTGCCGTCCGTTTTGGGTTCGTCCCTGCATTTGCTTTCAACTCCGTTGTTTCCAGGGGAAAATGCTGTTGTTGTACTAATTTAACGACGTTGCTCTCGGCTCATTAGGTCATCCGTCGATAAGGGTCCCACATGCAGCGATTCGTCAGGCCGAAATCTGGTCGTGATCATCACCATATGTTTAAACCTTATCCACCAAGCGACGGAACGAAGCAGTCTGCTCCATGACGAGAAGCTTTCCAGCTTTCTTAACAGGGTGTGACGTCGTGTTCCGCCATCATTACCACTCTCTCGGCTTCGATCAGCTCGACAAGCGCCGGCACTTCACTTTCGTCCTCTGGCCCGGCGGTCAAACTTTTGGGCCGCGGAGAAAATCGGGTAAGTTGTCCAATGAACTCAATCTCCGGGAGCAGTGGTCGGCTGGGATGTCCGTGGATTTGACATATCTCCATTGGTGCATCTTGGTCTCTTCGTGTACCACCGTCAGCCGGTTAGGAAACAAGGTGCGGAACCTAGTGCTAAAGTTGTTCACGTAGTGTATCACGATGACAGAATCGGTCCAGAACGTGACGCGTTCATCGAAGATACTGAAGCACTGTCGAAGCTGCTTTGCTATGCGTACAGCTAGCCCGGCTGCGGTCAGCTCGAGGCAAAATATCGATACGAATTTCAAAGGGGCGACCCGGGCAATGGCGAAAAGTAGTTCTGTCATGCGCTTCCCGTTCAAATGCAGCCAGCGTATGTAGGCTACTGCCCCGTATCCAGTCTCGGACGCGTCGGAGACTAAATGCGGTTCGGCCTTCGTCGTTTGGCTGCTTCGGCTGAGCCGGCGCGGGATTTCTATCTCAACCAGTCTCGCTAGGCTGACTAACCATTTTTCCCAGTCTACCCGGTCCTACTGTCCTAGTGGCTGGTCCCACTTCGACAAAGCTGTTGCAGGAAGACCTTACCCGGTGACAGCCACAGCGCTTCGAATCCAAGTGGATCATACAAACTGGAGACCGACGAAAGCTGCCCTCGCCAGGTGGGGTTTCTTTCAGGTATCCGAATTTGAAAAATGAATTCGTCCGACTCGGCGCTCCATCGTAGCCCCAAGGCCGGCTCGGTAGAAAGCGGCTGTGTAGTCAAGTTGACAGCCCCACTCGCTCTGTCGGTTTGGGAAACGTTGTCTATAACTAAGCGCCAGCTGGATAACCATTTGATTAGGCGGAACCCCCTTTTTCCAGTGGGTGGTAGTGACACGTCCACCCGTTCCGTGTATCTTAGCTGTTCGTTCCATTGCATCGCTGCGGCGCACTGACGACGTAGCTTTGCGTCCATGACCAGTCGCCTTTTAAAGTACTTCAACCATTTTAGGGCCATCCCGTGGTTGTTCGGCAATCGGTTGTATCCCGTCCTCCATGGTAACGGTACCTCGAACCGGTCGGACGGGCATCGTGTCCGCGTTTTGACTATTGCAAATGCCTGGTTGTCTTCTACGGAGGGGCCGCCTTTCTGATCATTCATGTCGTCGAACTCATTGTCGTACATCCGTTGGAAAGTTCGTTTGATCGTATCGTCGCCAGCGGTAGTGGTGGTGGTGAAGGTAAATGACAAAAGTTTGCGGTTTGTCGCATGAGGCGATCCAAACAACGCCCCTCCGAAAATGTTGCGAGCAGCATATGGTTCTTTCCTGCCACCCAGTCTTTGGTCTAGGAGCCAGTGTGCTTCTGGTACATTATATCCTTTTAGCAAATCGACTTGGGGATGATCGGCTTCTTTGAAATATAAGTCTCGCAGGTGTGGCCAGAGCGTTGCTAATTTCCCGATCGCTTTCACTGCTCGCATAGGCAATTCGGCGATCGTGGATGCTTCCGTCAACTCTACTCGTTAACCATTATCTAGCAAAACCAACGTCACACTCGTTTGATTGGCGGAAGTCGCCCTGGTACCGTTCGCCGTGCTGATCGTCAGGGAAGATGGTCCGGTTGTGATGGTTTTTACGGCGAAGCGCTTGGTGATCAACATGGTATTGGATCCATTGTCAATGAACGCCATCACCTTCACTACCCCACTGGGTGTTAATATGCCAACTGGTGTTACCCCGAGACGCACCTGCTTTTCCGCTGATTGTAACAGTAGACATATGCTGGGGTTT